CAAATTACTAAATACAATCATGATTTAAGGTGGTGATTGAAATCAGTGGCTTAACCTGTCACAGATTACGGACGTGCGACAGAATTTACAAATGACGCATAACATATACATGTAACTCTCGATATAGGAAACATTCGATATAAGAAGCTCTTGGCATAAGAAATTTTTACCAGTTTCGGATAAAAATTTATGTTTTTTATATAAGTTTATATAAGATGGATTTTGGCTGGACCCGGTGACTTTTTTTTATATCGAGAATCATTAGTGTTTTGTATATTAATTGTGTAATCGTGATAAACTTTTGGAGCCGACTGTACGTACGTCATCAGATTATCATTTAATTATATGTATGTTTTAAGAACAATTAAAGTTTAAGATTCTCCATACGGATTATTTCTCAATAAAAATGGTTAATTATCTAGGAAACTATAATTTTGGCTATTATATAAAGTTAAAGAAATTAACATAATATATGAAAATGAAATAAATTAAATCGTTCAATTTTACTGGAAAATAAATGGTTAATTACTGACATACAACAAAACAAATAACTTTACTAAGTTACATTAAATTTTTTCATTTGATTTATTATACAGAATGCATCGACACATTCATATGCATAACTAACTATCTTAAGATAGTATAGCGGGCTTTTATTGTGATTGCCTGCTTTTTGCAGATATTAAGAATCTAAGACCATAAACCTAGCATAAACAAGATCCTATAAATCAAAAGCTTTATTAAATACATACATAATTAAAAAAAAAATAGAAATAATCAAAAAAAATAAAGATACCAAAGTACAAAAAACACAAATAAATCAATCTTAATCGAAATACTAGTTTATTGACATCAAACTATTTGACCCTAATAACCTTAATAATAATCAACTTAACATCACATTCTAATCTCGAAATTTACTTCATCACTTCGTGGGTATCTGTCTTGGGATTATAAATAAAACATAATAAATAAATTATCGAAAAACTCTTTCAGAAACAAATTACTAAACTTAGTAGATTTGTATATTATATTTATGACTTATTGGCTAAATTGAAATGTTCAGATATATCTCTCATCCAACTTCCGAATCACTTTGGCAGTTTATAAAGTAAGGCGTGAACTTCTCTCCTGAACTCGTATTCGTGACCCTGAATTCAATCTTGTGACAGAAAATCGTTACTTTACTATGAAAAGATGATCTACAAAAATCAGCCAATCACATTAAAGCCCGCTATGCTTCTTAAGATCACTTTCCGAATTTTTTTATTTTATAAATTCGAGATAATTTCAGACTCTATATATATGTACTGATACTAGGATTTTTGAAATCCAATAAAAATCGACTACTATCAAGTTGAATCATATAACGACAAGCGAGTACAAGAATTACACTTACCCTTAGTAAAAAAATTTATTTATAGCTATAGGTGAACAACATTTACTAATAAAGTTGATTTTTTGCATTCATACCTTTTTCGGTTTTAATAAGCTAACCAATTTACTCTCAATAATTTATGGTTAGTGGTTTAAGATACAACAACACAATACTGTATATACTGAACATATAAAGAAAAAAAAATTAACATCGGTCAAAGAACCAAAAAACATGATTGTTCAGAATTCCATATATATATATATATATATTGCTCTGGTTTCTAGGTAGCAATTTTACGGTAGCAATTAGTATGAAAGAATTATAAACGTCCAACAATGACAAGCGTCAAAAGAATAAAGTTGATGAACGTACAGTATGCAGAAATATGTATACACAACAAAGCATCTGTTAGAAGATAAAATAATTTATAGAGAAAAGAAAATGAGGTCTTACTAACTCGAATGTACGGTCTATGTATCGTTACGTACTGTTAAGTAGACTTCCAAAATAGGAATTATTAATATTAAAGCACCCTTAGTAACACGAGACAATTCTGGCTAGCAAAAGTGTCACAGATTACAATGATGTCATACGCTGCCTAGATTAGCGATTGTAATCAAGGGGTAGAAGGGGTGAGTAACGCGTTTAAATGAATTCGATAGGGAGGTCGAATTAAATGTTAATTCTAAAAAAAAAAGTTCTAAAATTTTTAGGATCAAGAAAAATAAATTTGGAAAATTTTTATTACATATAATAAATGTGATCACGAACACAATTTATCTAAATTTGAGTAAATTATAAATTTTGAATAAATGCGTTAAACAATTCATTTCGGCCCTTTTATTCTTTGTCATTAGCCTATCCTGTTAATTTTGATGCCAAAGTTCTTGTAACGTCATTTCATGAGCATTTCCCTATAAGTGTTTTTCTCTTTGCGAAATTCTCTCTTCTTTTGATTTAAAGTTATCAATAAACGATTCCCTATACAATTCTACATTATCGACAGAGAATATTGAAAGAGAATATCAAAAAGAGAAAAACCCAAAGCAAGTATGTGGTGTGATAATTGCTTATTGATATTTCCTTTGAGATCTGGTGCCATGTTTTTGGCCATATTCATGGCGGTAAGATATTCTTTCTTTCTCAGTAGAGGTGGGATCCACGGATAAAAATGAATATTCAATTAAGAGCAAATATTCAGCTACATAAAATTGGTGAATAGTCAAGGATTTTATTAGGTACACAAAATTTGTGAATAGCTGTAAATTTCGATGAATATTTTTTAAATACAACCAGAATATAACTAAATTTATATTCAGCGAATATCCAAGGATATCCATATAAAACCCAGTCATTCATTTGATATCATTAATGAATGACTAAAACTTGTGAAATATTCAGTAAATAGCCACAATGGATATTCAAAGGATCCCAACTCTATTTCTCGGTGATAATTAATCAATTAAATTCTTAATGTGACTAAATTCTCAATTTTCGTTCATATGCAGATATATCAATTCATAGGTGCTATCCTTTTATTCATGTATGGAGGTATATGTTATATCATCAAATTTCTAAATTTCTCTTATAAGCTAAACATTAATATCTCATTATGCTTATTAAAATTTTATTATGTAGATTTCTTCTTTTTCCATAAATATGAAGCATCATTATATGGTGGATATGCTATTTTGCAAGGAGTAATTGGGCTTATAGCTGTATTGGGATTCTCGAGAGTAATTATCTTTGACATATAATTATGACTTTGGAAATTTTAAATAATTCCGTTTTTGTTTTTACTTATTATTGTTTGTATTTTTATAGCGATCATCCCTTATTGCCAGAGTACTTGTCCGTACTTATGTTGTAATAATAATATTAGGTGCCATACGAGGAAGTTTGATGGCTTGGTCAATATTCTATGGCCAAGAACATATAAACTGGGAATGTAATAATGGAGGCAAGAGATGGATTGATCCTTCGACGATTGATCCGAATGTACTGCAACCCGTTGATACAAGATTAATGCCATCAACGTTTTGTCAGGTCGGTTTACAAAGCGCCGCAGGTTATTTTGCTTTTTTTCTCGCTCTTGACTTCATTTTAATGGTATGTATTATTCTTTTTATTTATTATAGAAAAAAAAATTTTAATAACACCTTGATTTGATTTTTTTTTTTTTTTTAGTGTTATTTCTATTTCATGATATGGAGGTTTAACGTAAAATTATACAATGAATGGTGTGATACTAGTTATTATCCTTAAATTCATAACAAACATTTTCTTCCCACTCGAAATCTCGTTTCATTCGATATTGCTAAGAATCATTTTAACGATTTAATATAATATTCCTTTTTTACCGTGTTTTATTTGGATGAGTATATTTTATCTAACAATTAATTAATCCTCTATTCAATGATTTAAGGACATTTTCAAACCTCATGTATTTTTTTTGTACATTTATTAATATTTTGTACTAGTAATATTTATATTTTGATGATAAATGTATTAATATAAATATATTATTGTAAGTCGTGTCATTGGATTATCGAATAGTGGAAGCTTTTAGGGAAAACATTGCTGCTGATCTAAACTTACTTAAATATAAATATATTCATCGTATTAATATTTACTATTAAAAATAAGTTTAATAATTATGTTATTAACTATACCGATATACGTACTAATATGATGGCGTATACCAATATGATCACATGAATGTGTAACATGAAATGTGAAAGGGATGTCACTTATTGGGGTGTACAACATTAGTCAAATTACAAATATAGTTAGATTACATAATAATAATAATAAGATTAAAAAAAAACTCTTTCTGCTGATCATTGATTCCAAAACAAGTGAAAACAAAATGAGTAACGAAAAGAGAAAACCTGTAAATCATTTCACATAAAAAGTGAAATGATTTACAGGTTTTTCTTTTTCATCACTCAAATACAAAAATAATATAAAAACAAATTAACAATATTTAAAGGATTAGTAGAAAAGTTTTTTTTTTTTTTTTTTTTGGTATTAAGGTGAGGTTTTGCCTTTATCTTTATTAATAATTTGTTACAGGCAACTAC